CTCACACACACACACACACACACAGAGTGAGCTGTTAATTAAGCCGCAGTGACACTGTTTTATGATTCACCAGAGTAAATGATTGTAATGTCATTATGTTCTTAAGACAATGGGACAGAGTTGAGTTTGTTAAAGTCTGCGGTTCAGACAGTGAATCAGTGCTGAGGGGCGGATAGAGTTAAAATAAAACCCTCTGGCTTCACCTTTACACCGCTTACACAACTCTTCACACCTAATCACATCTCAACATTACCTCAGCTCTATATCTTACTGGATGGCATCTATTGACATTTGATTATTTGATTTCCAGTGTTTCAATTTGATCATTTGACTGTTTGAATTAAAATATTAGAATTTTTATTAAAATATTTTATATTTGAATTTCACGGTTGATTTTTGACCCGTATAATTTCTGTGGCTTTTTTAAATTTTTATATTTCCCATCTCAGATTCCTGATTCAGCTTATTTCAACAGAAAATCCACAGGAAAGCCGCTTCTCAAACCCTTCTGTGGCTTGTTAAATGACAGCCAGAGAACAATAACCCTGTGTTTTTCAGCAGAGTTGGGAGGACGAGTCCCGCTGGGTGGAGGATCTGCTGAAGTTACACACGGCTCGAGTGCGAGACGTGGAGCTGCTCCCGGGCCTGGACTTCTACCGCTCCGCCGCGCTGCCGTACACGCGTGTGCTGGCGCTCAAAACACGCATGCGCACCTTTGAGGACGACGTCTAACACTCACCACACCCCACGCTTCCACTGTATAGTTTTATACACCGTGTCATATTTATTATTCACCTTCAAGCTAATAATGAAACCGTCTCACAGCTCACAACCACAGCAGCACTAAGAGCTCCTCACGTCTAGAGAAGTGTATTCACACAGTTACAAGAGTCCCACTGAGAAATGTGCTCGCTTCCTTGAAATAAAGTCAAATGCAGTCAAATGTAGTTATTTTGTCTTTTTTTTGTGTGTGTGTATTGTTAGTGTCATGATGCAGGATTAATCTAAAATCCAAATTAAAAACATGCAATAGTTTAATACTAGTCACTATAGTACAGAGCCAAACAAATAATACATTTATTAATAATGCATTTGCATAACGACTTAGTAAAATTGCATTAGTTAACTACATTAGCTAATATGAACTAACACTCAAAAATACTTCTAAAGCATTTATTAATTTCACACTGCAAAATATGATTTTCTTCCCGCATATTTTTTGTTTTCCAAATATCTTAACATTTATGAATCCAGATGCATTTACTTATGATGCAAAAAAAAATATTGTCTTAAACTCCGTTTCATAATAAATCGGCTGAAAATGTTTAGTTTTAAGCTTAAATGTTTGATCATTTAAAACATTTAATTTTGATACAATTTTGCAGGACTTCATATCTTAAATAATCTTGCTCCTCCAGTAAATGTGTCTTGATTTTTGGATGTTTAGATATTCAAACTTGAAAACAAGACACAAATACTGAAGAAACAATACTCTCTTTTGCAGTCTAGTTCAATTTAATTGTGGCATTTACTAATGCAATATAAAAATCAGAAGTTGTATCTGTTACTATCATTTAATGGAGCTGAGCAAACATAAACTAACAATGAACCGCTGTATTTTTATTGATTAACGTTACTAAAGATTAATAAAAAGTGTAACAGAAGTATTGCTCATTGTTAGTTACTATTTGTTAATGCATAAACCGTCATTAACTGATAGGACTTTACTGTAAAAAATGTATTTGTTGTATTCTGGTTTTATCTATTGATTACTCAGATTGCACTGATTTAATTTGCCGTTTATAGTCTTTCCATAGAAATGACGTATATGGACTGATATTATGGTAGGCATTTAACTTTAGTGATATTAAACTGTCCCTCGATTAGCTGGATCAGGGGTGTTTGATTAGGGTTGGAGCTAAACTGTGCAGAGCTGTGGCCCTCCAGGAACTGAGTTTGAGATCAGTGGTTTATGGTGTGGTGGGCCGCTCTGTGCCAAAAAGTCCAGGGCCACTTTTTAGCCCCAGTCCGCCCCTGTTTCTATTAAGCACATAGCCCAAATAAGCTATGTAAATGTATTTGTAGTGTGCACGTGTGTGCGAGTGTGTAAACTAGATTTGAGTGTACGTGTGAGCTTGTGTGTCGATGTGTGTGTGTGTGTGCGTGAGCTTGTGTGAGTTTGTGTATGCACATGCGTGTGTATATGTGAGCGTTTGTGTGTGAGCTTGTGTGGATGCGCACGTGTGTGTGTGTGTGTGTGTGTGTGTATGTGCGT